AATAATGAAATAAATAAATAAATACCTAATATTCAATTTATCAAGCAAGTGATTGTACTATTATCAGAAAATTTTTTAAGTAAACACTTTTATTATCTCCATTAGTTTGAATATGAGAGGGGAGAGTATAAAAGTAATTATAGTATTATAATATAGTTTTATCCAGATTCTTAATAAAAAGTTTTTGATTAAACATAGATATTTAAAAAAACGATGAACTTTCTCGTGTTGGTGAATTGAAATCGTTAATTTTATTTACTTATATAGGTATTCCAGGCATATGCAACAGTGTTTACTTTACTTTATACTGCAAAGATTACAATGTTTTTGAATACTTTCGAATAAATACTTACACTTGATTGACAACTATTTGCCAACATAAAATTATTTTATATTTTTTAGTGTCTTGTATTTCTTAAAATTATTGTAATTGTACAATTATTTGGTTTTGCATTAGAAAGATGATTCAATAAACTGAGTCATTGTCACAAGTTTACAATGTCTGGAAATTCCGTAAACTATTTGCTGGAAAGTTTCACATAGTTTCGGCAATGTTGTACAGTTGTAAATTTTAACTGCCATCAAAGTTTCAAAACTTTCGATATCAGAATAGACTAAATCTTACATTACAATCTTTGTGCCATTTATGAAACACAATTGCATGAAATATGTATATATTTTAGATTCGTTAATTCTGTATATTATATCTGCGAAACTGATATCAATTCATTTTATGATTTAATATTGACAAGTATATTTTTGTAACTTTTGTAAAAATTTATACGTAATGTTTCTTTTTCATAAAAGTTTTCTAATATTTTTGAATTCTTTTAAATTTTATTTATTTGTTACTGCATTTTAAATATTGTGCGGTAATAATTATTATTAAATTAAAATAAAAAAATTAGAATTTCTATTTTCAAAATCGAACAATATTCAAACAAATATATGCAAATATCCAAATTTTATTTATTATCAACACAAATTGTTCGTGTATTCCTCTAACCTACTTCGTACCATTGCTATTAAAGTAGGTCAATGATACTTTTTCCTAAAAATGAATATCTTATAAATTTCTAAAAAAAAAAATGCTGTAAGAAAGAGATTGTAGAATAAAATATACAAATTTTTCTTATATTTCTCAGTTAATTTCTCTTCAAATTTTTTAATTGAAATATCCAATACTTCTGCGTTCGGAAATAGAAAAAAGTGACAGCTCTGAAGAGAGCTTAAATTTATTATAAAAAGATAGAGAATGAAGTTCGTAACACTTGAATCTACAAAGAGTTCAAGATGCTATTAGATAAGTATATAGACTCGAAACGGCTTAGGAATGATCGGACGTGCGTGCCTAAAACGATCTCTAATGGCAAAATATCTTTTTGCCCAGACCGTTTCGCATCGCTGCCAGTCGCACTGTTTCCGTTTCGATGTCGAATAGAGTACTCGTCTGATTCGGTCCAGTTGCGCGATCGATAAAAGCTTCCGGCAAAAACATGCTTCACAATGAAAACTTAATAGTTCAAGAAAATATTCAAAGCAATCAGAACCTTCATTCGCATCGCTTCAAAAAGTCATTGTGATTCTTTATTTGTATCATGTTTTTCAAGTCAATAGAAAGAAATTGTCATTTCTTTGTCTTTCTTCAAATTGGCTTAAGATTCTTTTCAGATGTGTAACGCTTATAGTATTTATTGAAAATTCATTAGTGTTAATATAGACAACAAAGGCAAGAAGGACAATAAATATTTTTTAAAAAATGCATTATTCTATTCGTTTTGCAGTTTTAAGTTTCTTAAATGTGAACACATTAAATTGAACTTGAGTAGTAAATCATCATGATATTTTTTTTATTTCAAGTGACCATTTTTTTACGATAGCTTTTAGTACAGAATAACATTCAATTAATTCGTGATTGTCTTTTGTAGGATTGAATTAAAAATTAACAGTATTAATAAATTTTTTATTAATAGTAACAAACTCAATAGAAAACAAGTAAGATCTTATTTGATGTTTTTAGGTCACATGTACCTATATATAATAATAATCATAAACATTAATTAATTTCATTTTATTAATTACTGATTAATTATTAATTTCGTTTTTAATTTACAAGAGGCAAATTACAACCTACAGATTGTAATTGTTCGTGTAATAAAATTTTACAAGGCTACGATACCTAGCTGAATTGCAAATTCACTAACAACTAAATATTAATTAATAAATAATAAAACTGAGAAATTTCAATCTGGTAGCACACGGATACATACATATATACTCATACGTGCAAATGACGTGGTTGGAAATGAAGGCCACCTAATGTCACGATCGCAACGAGATAAATAATCACAATGGGTGGGCGCCTCGCACGTTTTCCGTACACGAGTTACAGGCACACCTTATGGGTCCCTGTAGGGAGTCGGTCTCCTCTGTTGCTCCCATAAGGTGGTACAGAGCTCCAACCGTGTGTGAGAATCCATTCCAGTCGATTTCACAGGGGTTGCAGGGGGCCTTCTCTCTCCACTTCGAATTTCGCTTTCTTTTCTTCGCCCTCTTTTTCCCTGGTGGCCTCTTCTATTTTTCTTTCTTTTTCTTTTCCTTTTCTATCTTTCTTCCTTATCCCTTTCCGATATTGGTGCATTTTTTAAAGTCTTTGTACATGTACCGGACGTTTCTGAATTATATGTATAGTATTGAATAATTTGAAAAGGCGTGAATTTACATGAAAAGGTAAGTTAAAAACAGAGTGATATTCCATTTTTTTTAATAAATCAATAATCACAAATGCACGTTTAACAAATATGCTGTGGTATTCGCATTGCTGTTTGGATTTACTAAATGTTAGATAATAGTAGACGAAGAATAAAATAAAAATATTTTTTCTTCAAAAATCTCCTTTATTAATTTTTTAAATTTGGAAATTGGCTGTTTTCTTTTATTGAAGAGAACTTTATGTAACTTTATTCTCTTTCGAACTTTACCGCGCTGACAAACCTTGAAAATAAATTTCATGAAAACTATGTTCACAAAAATTTATTTCTGAAACGATTATTAATAAGCTCATTAACTATCTATTTGGATATCGCTATCGAAGGAAATAGAGTATATTTCGTTCTGTAGTTGTTTCGTTGAATATCGTGATAATTTAAGTAAATGAAATATAAATTTTAACGGCAACGTTTTCTAACACACTGAAATCATTTTACGTGTTTCACTTTTAAGATTTTTCTAAAAGATTTCTTAATTTCTTCTATTTTTTTCGGTTTACTACCTCAATTTTTTGTTACTTAATAGTTTTGAAACCGCTATTACGATTTCTAATTTTCAGAACTTTTAACGAAGTTTCTTTTTCTTGAATTTCTTTAAAACATTCAGAACTAATTTTATATCTTTAGCTTATCCCATTTTCCGATTTTCCGACATTCTTCATATTGATTATGAATCTACTTACAAGTAGAGTACTTTCCTATTTATAGTAAGTATTTATTACCTATACTTACTAAGTATTTATAGGTAAAATCCTCCATAATACATCCAAATTTCCACTAGACATTCACTAAACTTCCTGTTCCCTAATCTCCATATTTCACTCTATTTTCTAGAATCCTCTCAATTAGAATCCACAATAAAATCGTTAACGATACATTTATTTATCAAATTGGTGTAATTTGATTATTCTCAATAATAAATTTATATACGTAAAACGACTCATATTCGGTAGGTATTTACTGCATAATAGATAGTATGGCTGCATAATAGATAATTTTCGAATATATTTAGATATGTATTATACCTAAAACTTTGAAATAAATATAGAGGTTTAGAAGTATTGTAAAGATAGGATACAGAAATCTGACAATTTTTAAAATACAATAGAGTTTTAAATTTTTAATTTTTTAATAAATTCTTCATATATGTAGATATAATTGCTATGTTATTTTTTTTTTTTCAAAAGGATTCCAAGTGAAATTTATTTCATTAGTTTTTGGATTGATTTAGAATAGTTAATTTTCAAGATTTCTTACTACTTTCTCAATCGTTTCATCAGGCAAATTCAAGTGTTCATCGTTGATTCAAATTTCAAATATTGATAGGAAAATTTTTTTTTTGTTATTGCAATACCGCTATTGTTTTTTTATTTCTTACGGTGCACGAACTCACATTATTTTCTTAAAATCATACAGTGTTACAATCATTTCCAGTTAATAAAATCAAATAGACTATTTTCTGCCTTAAACTCTATAGCGTTAGAAAACATTCAAGCTTAAAAATATAAAAAAATATTAAGAATTTTGAGATTTAATAATATAGATATGAATTTAAAAATAAAAAAAATTTGAACACATGAAAAATCTAAACAACTACTTTGAGATGCAAAAATTTATCTTCTAATCTTTTTAAAAACACCAATCCAACATTTCTGATTTGAAAATTCCCAATAAATTACCGACTATCTTCCTAGATGGTATTAACCAAACAAAGTTGAATAAGAAGTTAAACATCGGATACTAAAGGCACTATAAAAATTTGGAAAATTTGGGAACTTGGAAACATAAAATTTAAAAAGGACGAAGCTCGGGAAGTTGTACGGTAAAGGTGAAAATTCGCGAATATTAAAATTCTATACCTACTCGAGACATATCCAAAATCCAATCACTTCATCGTCCTACCCATCAACAGCTTTCTACCGACTCGAACGGAGAATTCCTAATAACCAAGTCACCGACCGCCCTCGTAAGGAGACTCATAGGTGTATTAGCCTCGGTGAAGGTAGATGAAAGGTTAAATAGGTGCGATAGGTAGCCGGAAGGTGGGTGTACTCGTTAGTGTGTGATCCCGCCTACCGTCCAATACCGTGGCTGGTTTCCCAGGGGACTCCCTAGCCTCTCACAGCCGGCTTTTGTCGTCGTCCCTTCTCTCCTTCCACGTACGGCCAGCACTCTTTTGCTTTCAGGAGGAGGACGTTCGTGTGTCGCTTTTGCATCGACACGATAATAGTCACCGTGGGTTCCCGGTTAGTGCGCGTTTATACACTCAACCGTGTTCCTCGAGTGACTGGTCGCGCGAGACTCAGCCGATCGCCAGTCCTTCCGATCAAACCATCGAGACCGGATCGATTTCTTCTTCCAGTTCAAGGATCCTCTTTCGTTTGTTCCGAATATTTCATACACTTGACAACTTTTATCTGGTTCTCTTCTTCGTAAGTTTTCACCTTACTCGAATTTTACAAACTCTTGAGAACTTTGGTACAAATGCCTTTAGACGATTCTTGACTAATTTTTAAACAACTTTGGGGAATTCAGAGAAGGTTGGACCAGTGTGGTGGCGATTATGTGAATTAAAGACTGACTATTGTTCAACACTGACTTTCGCGTTAATTGTTACTACATTGCGATTTTGGTTCCGTTGATTTCTCTATTGTAATTAATTGATACAAAATGAAATACACGCGAAAACTAAAGGCAGAGAGACAATTGTAAAATTCCTTGAATTTCAAGAAAAAAATCAGAAGACTTTGGAAAAATTCGAAAGAAATAGTTGAAGTGTAGAGAGAATTTAATGTGAGGATTTTGGTGTCAAGGATCAATCGATATTTTTAAGTTACATATTTAAATATCGATTATGATTGACTTTGATTTATTTGTGATTTGATAATTAATTTGACATTGAAAACTCAGAATTTTCTGAAGTTTCTAGAAGATTTTAGAAAAATTAAATAGGGAGAGCTAAAATAGAGTGTGGTGTGTAAATTTAGTGCGATCGAGAATTAATCAGTGTTTTTAAATCTTTGAGAATTAGTCGATTTACTTTTTAACCAATTTGAAATAGAACACTCAATCTAGAAAATAGGAAAGTACGATTTGTTGTTCTTGGACTATTGATGTAAGTGTAATAAAGCAAATTAGTGTAATAAAGCGAATTAACACTTTTATTATTTATATATTTTATTATTTATTATTTAGTGGTGATTTTGAAACTTGTTCGTTCTCCCGTTATAAATTGAAAGAAAATTAATGGCAATTAAGAAAACTGTTTGACGAACTGATTGATATTAAAGTGATGGTGAATAGGGATGAACTCCGGTACACAAAGGGTGGCTGTATAGAAGAAAGATCAGAATGTTGTTTAAGGGGAACAGTTCGAGGTTGGAGCTATTGATAGGGAGAATCCAGGCCCACAAACCTTCTCAGGAAGAACAACATAAATCCAAAGGTACGATTAACAATTCTATATTGTTATATTTTATTATCTAAGATATGTACGTCTATATTAATAATAATTTAAATTCTATTTAAATCCTATATATCCTATAACTATCCTATAATCCTATAACTAGTAGAATTTTTATTTTTTCATTAATTTAACAAAACTAAATATTTAATATTTAACTATTTAAAATATTTAAAAATATTAAAAAATATTTTTTTTAATATTTTAAAAAAAACGTAATATTTTTAAAAAAACGTAATATTTTTAAAAAATACGTAAAAAGTATTTTAAAAAAACCTAAATATTTAAAAAAAACGAGTAATCTTCTTTTTGCAATCCACTTTTTCTTCGTCTCATGCAAGCGCAGTTCCCTTCCTCAATTTCAATCTGATCCGGTAATTGATTGCTAACTCCTTCGTTATTACGAAATCGAGTTGTCTAATAGAAATTTCTAAAAGTCTCTTTGTTGAACAAGGCAAGACAGCATAGATCACAATTAGAAAAGTTGACACTTGTGTCAGGATATATTAGGTACCATATTGTTCTTACAATTAATACATACTACAAACATTTAATATTAAAATGAATTTTAATTATTACGATTTTTAAAAAGTCATTTTTCTAAATAGACTGCGGATGTTTATGTAATTTTATAGTTTTATAAAAATAATTTAAAAACTGGAACTTGGATAGAAAATTATTTTACTTGTCAAATATTTTGTATATTTTTATATATTGTTACATGTATTGTTTACACTTTTATAAAAATTCATAAATCATAATCTAATCATAGTCTAATTATAAATGACAAATTATTAGAATTTTTATCAAAACTTTTATTCAGAGAGTCAGAATTTTGATAGCAATCATAATGATCGATCATCAGAATCCCAAATTTTTAAATTAATCCAATCATAATAACCGAATCCATTAAATTTTCACTTAGGGATTGAAATAATGGGTCGTAAAAATTTGAAATTTTAAATTCAATTTAGCAAAAACTGATCTTGAAAAATTCTTAATTGAAGATTGAAATAACATAGTATAAAAATTCTAATACCTCAGAAACTTGGGTAGATATCTATATGTAACTGATGAGCGAATTTTTATTTATTTATTTTATATATAATTGATTATCAATGATTATCAGTCAATATCCAAAAATGATTTCGGGAGATCCGATTACAGTCGCCGATTATTAAAATTTGTAATTAATTCTCGTTAAATTGAATATTCTAATCTGATCTAATTATATACAATATTAGATACAATCGATCTAAAATCAAATTAAAATCAATCTATCTTGAGGGATGCACAATAATCGATGCCAAAATCTTAAATCAGAATTCAAATCGATACATTACTAAATCCAAAAGAACCCAATCTCAGTAAATCTATTATTAAGATTAAAGTGTCTTGTAACTGTTCTAGTAATCAATCTCAATAACATTGAATCTTAAAGATAGATTCTAGAAATGATCGAAAACTTAATAAACCAAGCAATATCTAGAAAATGAATTTATGCGTGATCGTCGATGAATTTATTTATGAACGACGATCACGCATACAACGAAAGTTAAGGATTAATAAATCCGCGTAAGCCACTGTGTGGGTGGGGAGGACTGTCACAGATTCGCGTACTAACATAAGTCACAATTAACGAAGGCGTTAAGTCGGCCCCCTATTAATAAGCGTCGTCGAAGCATCCTATAAATAGCGATGGGCATGAGGTGACAACATTACGCGGCCATATGCGACCACAAGGGAGGCTGTATGGGCTCACACTCACACTTGGACAAAGTAAAAACAATGCAATACGACTGGCATCGGCAGGTCGCAGAAAAGAGCTGCCAGTGTTAAGTGCGACTATTTTCGCGTCGATGACACATCGCTGCTGATTGGACGGAATCGAGACTCAAAATAAAACCCCCTTCGAATCCTCCAACGAATCTTTAAGTCCTTGCATCGATTCGTTTTCACGTTATCACCCCTCATTTCCATCAAAATTCGAAATCTCTTCATTTTGTCCTCGATCTTCCATTTTGCGATTTTTCCAAGCTCCACTTCCGAAGTTTTGATTGAAAGAACACTCAAATTATCCTCTAATTTAATTCATGATTTTCAGTTTAATCATTCATTTCATTTCAATAAAAACGTATAAAAGAATTCATTGTTCAAGCAAACTCTTTCTTGCCTGGTCTCTATTTAATAATATTTAGACAGTAACATGGGAAAAAAAAAAGATTTTCAAGATGTGTTACAAAATATGAGATCAACTTCCCTTTTCATAATTAGGAGATAAGCAGTTTTTCCTCTCTGCTATTTATGTAATAAATCTAATTAAATAGATTTATTCGGCAGGAATTCATTCAGTCACTACGTAAAATTTTGTTGTAACAAATTGAATCTACAAATCTAAAAGTATTTAAATCCATGTATCAAATACTTTTTTGACCTTTATAAATTTCAATAAGATCGACATAGTCCCCTATTAGATATAATGTCCAAAATAAATTTACGATTTTGCTTGTTATTAGATTTATTGTATATTATAGTCTTTGTTATGAAATATAATTATTAGGTATTTTATAATACTTAAATATAATTATTTAGGTATTTCATAATGCTTTTATTTCGCGCTCTTTTAAAAGTTGGGATACATTACAAAAAAAAGTAATGTTCTTGTTTTTTGAAAGTTGAAAGTTCAATGAAAAAAGGAAATTGAACAAAATATGTGTTTGATCTTTTAAATATGATACTTCGTTAATCTTAATAATTTTCTATTGAATTATGAATCATTGATTGAATTATTGATATAAATTATTGTTATAATGGACGTTGATAGATCTTTACAAATAAAATAAAAATTACAAAGGTATTAAGATACACAAGTTGCGTTTGTAACAATTTTTTAAAGTATTTTAAAGATATAAAGAATTCGTCCTTTTGAAAGATGAATATTTAGAAGACTTCGAAGAACGATCGGAGCTTTCCATGAATGGACTGATGAAAGGCTTGATCCTATTTGTTGGCAATGAGGGCCAAATTGTTGACGACGACGGGATCAACTGGGTGCTTTCGTACACTCGATCGGTAGCTCGGTTTATATTTATTGCATGCTCACCCGATCTATCACGTCTCTTTTTCTGCAAGAAAAGGCGCGCGTGAGTCATGCTTGGATGCCAATTGGGCGAGTGCCTTAATTCCGTCGCGCATTCATGTTGCACAATTGCAGAAACACCTGATTTTTCACGAGATCTACGCTTGTAATCCATCGGATTCACTTGTAAGAAATCGCCAACGTATCTATGAAATTCTAAAGAAAACTTTAGATTTCATAATAATAAGCGTATATTATGAAATATAAAGAACAGAGAAAGTTTAGGAGAAATGTGAACATGTAGGAAATCGAGGTAAGATGGCTATGCTAAACTAAAAATAAGTGTAATAACTTTTTTTAATTTTTATACAAAAAAGCAATATTTTAGCAAGACAATTTTACATCTACTTGAAAAATTTTTATTATTATCTTTGGTTTAAAATTAAAAACTAATTTATGAGTAAATTTGCCATCTTACCCGGCTATTGACTAAAATAGTCCACATATTGGGATAAAATGGTTCTACTTTATTTATTTACCGAATACTTGATATATGACATTTATAATATAAGATTCTCGCCACCAGTTTAAACATTTAAGACATTGTATTCAGTTCTACAAAGGAGGATCTGGATACATTTCATCACATCCTGGATAGACGAGTCTCGTAACTTTAATATAATTTGGTGGCATTCTATAACTATATTAAAAAATAATTATAAAATACATAAATTACAAAGCAAATGAACATCATGCACGAAATAAGATGACAAATGCACTATCTTATCATTACCAGCTTATGTGGATAAATAAAATTGAGACACGAAATTTTCTTTTAAACAATTATGTGATATTTTCTTTTCTTTTAAACAACTATGTGATATTTTTTGCTTTTAAACAACTATGTGATATTTTTTCTACACTTGTATGAAAATTACAATGCAAAAGTTAATTACCTATAGAAAACTTGTCTTTAATTAAACTTCTAGTCACTAATTTACAATGTCGAATTCTCCCAAGTCACATGCATCATATCGTAATTTCGCCAGAACTTTTTATTGCATCTTTATCATGCTAAACTATATTATTGATCATACATAGCTGATGTACTAAAGAAAATCGACCTGTGTTACCAATAGATACAAAAATAACACTAACACAACTGACCATTTGACTTCGATCTCCTCTGTATAATAAGAAATCTGAGAATATAATTATTTATATACCCTCATACCGTCCCGCGACTCGTGGAAAATTGATTGATTGTGAGTGAGAGGTAATTCTGCATATAAAAATGAATTGAAAATTTTTTCGTTCAGGGCCACGTTTTTGAGAAAGTCGGCTTTGAATATTTCTTAAGTATAAGAGCTAAATGGATTCATTTAAATATCTTCGCTATTTTTTCTTGTACAAAAAAACTCCTTAGGACAATTATTGTACTATTTTAAGAGACAAATGTAATGCTGGGAATATCTTTTTCCAATGATCATTTATTTATGAGCTTTCAAAGTCATCGTTATTTTTTTGTGATTAACAAATATTTATTTTTGAATATTCTTATAGACCCTAAAAAAAAACAAATTCAGTAACCTATAGAACCAAATATTTTGATCATTTATTTTTTAAATATTTACTATCTAAATGTAATTGGAATTTTGTATCGCGAATCACAATCAATGTGTGCGAATTAATCAGTAGATTAATTCGCACACATTCGTAAACATTTATCATTAGATAATATCTTTGGAATTGCTGCTTTGACCACAGATTTTCAAGATGATGGGTCTGGGTTATTGGAGCATCCTTGTACACATTATCTAATTTCTGTGACGTTATGGATGTGCGAATCAGAGTGCTATTATATTACTCGCAATATCGCGTCAAGTTTGAAGAAATTTTGATT